ATTGTGTTTCCACTCTTCCTTTCTTGATCTTCCCCCATCTTCTGCTGCCAGACATTACGTTGACACTCACGTCATATACTACTTATAAGTAGCTCGCACCATATATCTAGTTTGTCAGTTTATTGTCCCTGACCCTTAAAGAGTTCTAAACTACTTTTTTTATTATTATACTCTGTAGTTTAAAAGGATTCTCAAACTAAAATCATGTTTTCGCTCTTTGATATCATGAAATTTTGTGGTTTACTATTTCACTACTGAATCTGAGATATATACATACAATTTTATGTGATTGCAAAGCTTTTCTAAATAATATTCAAATAAAGTCTATTACGAGGTAAACAAACAAGGCTATCGATCAATAGCATTTTTGGTATTTGCATGCAGGCCGTAGATGTTCTATCCTCATGATTCTCTGTTACAGTGATGAAAAGCACACTCTGTTCACGTCGAAGTATCCTCCACATTCTCTTTGTTTCCCGGCTAAGTGCAAAATTGATGCGACATTTAGTCGCATCATATTGAAATTTCATCAAGTAGCCCAAATGTTACATTAAGTGATGTATAACCAACCATTAAAGTGTTTATCACAGTGATTTTGTGCAGATTTTGAATCATTTGAATGTAACTTTAATCATAGGCACAAATCAACAGCAGAATAAATTTTAAATAAGTAGTATATGTGACACCCACATAGGCAATATTCAATTCAGGCTGAAAAATTCCAGATCGAAAAAGAAATTTTTAGCTCTGAACTAAAATAGTATTCATTCTCTAAGCAAAAGTTCTATTCTTATCTAATATCATCTGCAAGCTGCTACCTGGTTACTCTACACATATCATTACTTACAAGTGAAACTTTACGACGTACATTTTGATGCTTATTAATTTTTGAGCTCTGAACCACATTTACTTGAAGACAATATTCATTCATGACCGCCATCTGGCAGTAAATCCTGGTTTAAATGGATTATTCGAGTAGTCTTGTCCAATTGTTTTTTACAAGTCCACCTAAAAATAATGCATTTTCCTATACACTGGTAATTTATTTATTAAGACAAAGAAATGCAATGTATTAACTAACTCATTAGTTAGATGGGTCAAATCACTAAAAAATAATGCATTTTCTTTCTGTTCAATGTTCATTTTATCATTTTTTTTAAAAAAACAATTTAAATCTTTGCATTTCAGCCATTGTAATATTTTAATGTGAAAATGTTGTTGTTTTATGCACGATGAAAATGATATAGAGAAAAAAGACAAATCGATTTCATTTGTACATTCATGAATTTCTTAGCTAATTGCAGTCATTTTTTTTATAGTGGATATATATTTTTTTAATAAATTGCCTTTTATTTTCATGCATAATCCTAATAGAACTTGCAATAAAAAAAATGAATATTTCGAATATCATGTCTACAACGTTTGTTTTAAGTAAATAGACTGATTCATCATTAAAAAATTAGCCATGTGCAAAAGATTTTAAAAAAAAGTTCAGAACTAATCGTTTTTTTATTGTTTCGAAGCCTTTATTATCACGTACTCACTTCATCAACACTGTGATGATAGTTTCTGTATAAATACTTTTCTCAATTTTCGAAACCATGAATCGATGAATGTTAGACCACCATTAGAAACCTGGAAGAACTGGACGGCCGTCTCTTGATGGCATGAGGCTCTTCAGCAGTGCGCACCCACGACTCCTGAACCCCGCGGGATTCGAACCCAGGGCCTTCGGTATTGTGCGCGAACGCCCTAACCGTTAGACCACTGAGGCGGTATCTAACGGTGTTAATGTCTAACTTGATCAAATTCACGGAGTTGCGCAACCTCATAAACAGTCTTCGGTAGACACTGCCTACACCCGAACAGGTTGAACTTCATGGTTTCAAAAATTGTGTAACTTAACAATCTTCACAACCCCGAAATGCAAAATACTTTTCTGTCGTGCATGTAGCTTCGCGTTTTTTTGTTTTGAATGCAGTTAGCTTTATAATTAGTGGAAAACCATCAGTGAGATCATTTATTTATTTAATAAGTTTATGCGTTGGAATCGTCTTGCGGGTATTCCTGAACTTAAATCATTCAAGCCAGATAACCCGCGTAATAAGCCATCAGTTTATATGCTGTTTAGTGGTCATACGATTCTTATTAAAATCTAAAATGGTTACCGTTGAGTATAAAAAAAAATGTATGATATGATTTGCATGAAAGCGGGCTATAGTCAAAACTGTATCACTATTTACATATATGAATATTGGCTAGTAGTGGAATCCAGGACATGTGTTTTGTCCTATTCGGGACTCGTACAGTGGATGTACTTGCATCCCAGAGTTGATGTTTACTTCAGGAGCCTAATCCAGTACTATTCGCTTCAAACGTGAACATCTTATTCACTGGGTTCAAATATCCACTGACTTGTACAATGGGATGAAGTTTAATTCATTTGTATTCGTTATTTGGATCTGTACGTTGATTGATAGTTAAGCTTGAAATTGATCAGTCACTATGGTATAGATGCATCCTTGACGTTAGGTTACGGACATTATTAGCATAGATAGGTGGTGGCTAGCAGTTATATCCAGCTGACAAGTCCTGCATTCCACTGTTATTCATCATCTACCTATGATAATCCCGGTTGCGACAAAACGACAATATCGAGACAACCCGCACAGAATGCACGTATTGCCAAAGTGACTGATCAATTTACCGCTAAAGAATTCGTTTTAACTTTATCAATAAAACCAATTGTATCAAATACAAAATATGCACAATAATTCTGTAGTATTTTGTTAATAAAAGTTACATGTAATTTGCATGTTTAAGTCATAATATTCATTCAAAAAATGACAACTTTATACTGAAATAAACGATTTGGTTGAATGATTCAATTTGTATGATAAAAATTTAACACATCATTAATGTTTACATGTAAAAATGTACAATGTTAATTAACAATGAGTGGTTAGATCTATATGTTGAGTAACTGAAAAAATTTACTGTACTCATTGCCCGCCAACCTAATCATAGTAGATATTTTGCATTTTTTTATGAAAGTGGCTTGTCGATATAATGAATGCTAGGGATTTCAGTGAAACGCCTTGAAATCTTTAAAATCAATGTAAAATGGTTGGGGATGTTAGATCCCCAAAACTCGCTTGATAAATGCCTTATTTTGGTTTTCACGTTTGCCAACACCGGTTGATCAATTGACCTTCAGGTTTCATTTCCTACCGGGAAAATCCATGGCTGTGATTGGCTGCTGTGTATTTTAGTGTGCTATTTTTGTGACTGTCACAAGGATGTTTCTATGATGTATAAATAAACGAGAGTTGTATGCTTGATTGTATTGTGATTGCTGGGTGTTTGTAGAATATACTTTCTACGCTTACAAAGCCTTTTATCTTCAGCTTGGGATTCAAGGTAGCCTACCTGGACGCTGCTAATTGTCTCGTTCGCGTTTATCGACTAAGGTGAACTCGTAATAGCTTCAAGCGTACATAGTGACGAACATAACAGTATTATATCGCAAATGTTGATTCGGTTGAGATTAGGATATTCGAGGCAACAATCATTTCTTATATGTGTGAATTGATCTCTGCTTTGAGTAATGCACTTTAGTTAAATTAAAGAACTTGAATACAGGTTAACGAATTAGCTTGCAATTTTATACAAATCAAATAATGATGAACGGTTGTTGAATATTTCAGCCAAGATTAATCAAAATGTTTAAAAAGAAATTCGACTGTATTCTCTTATTGATGACTTTTGATTAGATGAAATTAACTTTCAACTGAGATTGTTATTCTACACTTACATACAGTTTAAATGTGTTTTGACCCAACATAGTTCTAACAACATTCCAAATAATTCAGTTCAATTTTTTGATCAATTTCCTACAGATTATGTTCGATAGTAAACGTTTATGTGAGTATGCTAGATAAGGAGTTTTTAAATGTGTTCAATTTTTCTATGTGTTATCATTTGCTGAACTCACGTGCACGTATAAATCAAGGTTAGGATTGGTACACAATGCTAGACCTTATCAATAGGACAAACGATTCACTCCATGAACCCTATCGACCGTAAATGTCAAAAGTTAATATTTGGAGATATGGCTTGTTATTTAAGAAACTTTAAAATAAATTACGACTCGTGCCAGTTAAGACATTAGTTCTGAATATTTGCTGTTCAAAGTACTTTCAATTGTTTATGTTTATCACACTGGGAGCATTCCACATCGTAAGATATTGAGTGATATTCTGAACAGTGTACTTCCAGACATTCTTGTTTGAACTAATCAACTTCAAAGGGAATTTTCATTGAAAACAAATGTTAACTAAAACACAAAAGGAAATCATTGTCGGCTTGTTAACTGTCTTACACAGAGATACACGATATTCAATAACATCACCGCGTTTATTCGGACATAAGAAGATTGAATTTCAATGAGTACTACTATCTGGAAATATTAGATTAGAGGGATTGGTTACCTCTACAAACACTGTTATATAATACTGTTGATGGAACATACAGCAAATATGGCTGAGTCATATTAAAACATAGTTATATAATGAATAGGATGTACTGAAATTGGTGCCTGTTTTGAATTAATTATCAATTTTTTTTTCAGATTACATTCAGTTGAATGTTTATCAGTTTGACAAACATTCACACTGATATTTGTGCTTTAACTTTTAATCAATTAATGTTATTTATGTTTCAGTAAACTATACTTGGATCTCGAGTTGGTGTGGACAATAGTGAACAGTCGTCACATCCTCAACAGGCCAAAAAGTTGAAATGTTCTTTATTCGCGCGTTGCTTGTACAAATAAAAATCATGGAATCCATGCAAACGATAGTTTAGCTCAATTAGATATTATCGAAGAAGTTCACCAAGTTACAGATCGTCAAATTCATCTGGTCCAGATTTTTATGAATCCAATAAGTCAAATACTATAGTTTTAAGCAAATCAAAATTTTATATACTCAAAGTGTAAAATGATTTGCGGAATAAGTAATTCAGTTAGTTCACATGAAATTGCAAACACATGTACTTCTACCATAGAGAATCGTAATCATAACAGTATGCATTCAGAATTTCCCACTAATCACTTAAATAAAACTCCTCATATATTTAAACCGGAAACCGGTATGCGCTCACTGTCAGGTTATTCCTGGATTCCAAATGAAAAATTCGGTATTCGACCTCAATCACTTGGGTTATACCAGTCAAATGTTATGTTACATGACCAAAGATGCCTGACTCCAAATATTACCGCATTGGATCCTTCAAATCAACCAATAATGCAAAGTCTAGATAGTAGTAGTAAGAAAGAGGATTTTAACAGTAAGATGTATTTTAAGAAAAGAAATGCAAGCTTTGATGACCAGAATAAAAATGCTACCATTCCAACGAGTTTGATGTCGCCGAATATTATTTATAATGGTAACGGTACTTTTAAAGGCGGAAAATTAAAAACTAATCTACCACATTTTCAATCATCTCATCTAAAGAAAAATGAGTCGAGAACTTCATATAGAGGCAGTATAAGAGAACGTAGCCCTGGAAAATTATTTTCCGCTAAAGAAACACATTTACTAAATTATAATGCCACAGGAAATGTACGTGAATCGTATAAATATGCAGCGGCAGTCAACAAATGCAAAGAAAAGAGTCGCGCAACGTTGGATGAAGCGACCAAACTATCTCAAACACGATCTGCTTCGACACCATCAAGAAAATTACCAGAAGACGATGTGAAAAACAGTAAAAATACTGATCTTCAAAATTACCATGAACCACAATTACGTGGTTTTCAAACAGGATTACACGAAGTTAATGAATTAATGAAAAAGGATGTTGATGATAATAAAATGGAATCTTTGTCTAAGGCGAATTTTATCTCACCAAGTATTATTTCACACAAAACTGAACATTTAAATAATAGTTCCTTACTTGTTAAGGCAGATAGAAATACACCTATACAGTCAACGAATAATTCTCTCGCATTAAACACTTCAACTAATTGTAATGTTACAAGATGGTGTGATATGACAGATCCTGCAGCGGTAGCCGATTCGGCTAAACAAGGTTTAAATCAAAATATTTACGTTAACAGTGATTTAGGTGTAGGCAGTCATTTACAGAGCGGTTATTCTCAAATGACGCATAAACAAAAAACAAAACAGAATTATGCTTTACCGAATTCTAATTCTGCAACATCTAGTTTATCTGCCGGAGATGATAGGACATTTTGTGATAGTGGTATATCTTCGTCATCTTATTCTAAAGACAGTGCTTGTACATCACCTTCTGATTTAAATGCCTTTAATCCTACCACATCCTTAGGAATTAATGAATGGGTATCTAAGTGTACAACACTATGTAAGAAAGATTCAACATTCGATTCAAACAATCAACTAAAACAAAGTCAAGAATTATCATTACCCAAAATTTCACGTATTCCAAGCATATCAAAGATACATGAAAAGCCGAAAAGAACTAATTCCATAGAAATGGTCGATACACAACCGGCTTCAAATATAGTTCAAATCTCTCAAAAACCTAAAACAATCGGGAAGTCGATTAGTCAATCGGGCAGGGAAGTATTTTCTGTTAGTCCACAAAACAATGACTTTGATTCACCGAATACTTCGCATAAATCTAACCATGATGCCAATGCATTAAATAAGATTTCTCAATCAATGAAACATTTACACAACACTTCGTCTAGACTTCATTCTACACCGATTTCAACAAATTCAATGATTTCAAAACGTCCAAATAAAATCTTTATCAATTCAACTAATGCTGAGTTTGGTAAAAATGAGAAAATACATTTCAAAACAAATGATAATCCTACTAATAAAGCCAGCGCTAATACATTGTCTCATAACAATAATGATACTTATCATTGTAATATTAATAAAGATCTTCGTCCAACTAGAATCAATGAAAAAATCGATGATATTCAGTGTAATCTACCGCAACAAATGTATCTTTCTAATAAAATGAATCGACCACATAAACAAGTTCATCAACAATTGAAATTTGTCAATGATCGACAACAGAAAACTAATCCGAATCAACCAGCGGTAATTAACTCAGAATGTAATAAAAGTAGAATTAAACGAGATAATGGGAAATCAACAATTCTTTATGATGAATCCTTTTCGAAAATAACATCAGGTCAACCTAGTGAACTAACGGATGATTCATGTGATATAATAAATAGGTAAGTTGATTGGAATGTTTCTGTTCTCTTGCAGATCCACAAGTATGAAAATCGGAAGATCACGTGAATAGTGAAAATACGAGATGAGAAATATCGATTATACCATGATTTAAAACTTAAACTATCTTGGATTTATTCTGGGTCACACAGACCTCACAGTGACCTATTAGCGCGTAACTTCTTAAGTCAATCATACCTTAAACCTTCAGGGAATTTACGCCTTCCAGTGAAATCAAACCAGATGATGACTTTGACATATATAACTGCATGAATAACAACTAATCTGCTTCAGTAGTAACCTATTTCCAATAATCGGCTAGAAAATACTAAGTACTTACTCACTCTGTAGTCCTTAAAGTCAGTCAAATTCTTTATCTCAACTATAAATCATACTAATAAGTATAAAGACTGACTTAAAGTTATCTATAAATCAATTGAGATTATTGAAAAATTTCTAACTCATCGTGTCTAAATCAAACAAAGCACTGCAAAAATCTTGAAATTCTGTGGTTGCTGTGCTGAAATATTTTTCTGTTTATTTGCTAATTTTCTGTTTGTATTGTAAGTTAATATTCTTTTGAGTGTGTTGTTTACCTAATTTATTCTTTCTTATTTTAGTAGTCTGAAATCATGTAATCCAGGTAGAGCTATATCAACAAAACCTAAGGAGTTATTGTCCAGTCTGATCACTTCAGACGAATCTGTTGGTGGTCAGAAAAAACCTGCTGACATTAGAGCAGTTGAATCAACTGTAGAAACTAGGAAATCTGAAGCATCACTCTTATCAAAGAGTTTACCAGGTACAGTTACAGAGAATCCATACGACAAACCCGCTGATTTCACGAATGATCCTGAGTTATTATTGTCATCTCTTTCGAAATTAGGATGTAATCCGTGTTTAGAAGATAATTCTTGGGATCAAAATTACTTCTCTGATGTTGAAAGTGAATACGCTGCACTAGAATTAGTACTACCTATACCAAAACGTGAAAGTTTAACAGAAGCAGAAATTGCTTTGGAATTAGACAAAAAACTATCAGAAAGTATACAGAATAAGTCGGCGGATAGTTTTGTAAACAACATCATTCCAAATAATTCATTGGGTGACAGTACGATTTCTACAGGCAAATGCTTAGAGCCTGGTTACTTTTCTGATACAGAAGCCATATTCTCATCTCAGCGCAAATTCAAGCCGCTATCTGATACTAACACCTGTAAACTTCCCATTGCTTCTGTAGCCCCAATAATGTCTACACAACCAACACCTTTGAGGAATTTGTTAGGTGAAAATCAAAATTCCTTATTTACTCCTAAAAATATAAACTTAAAGAATCTAGAACTTCCGAGTATTTCACAATGCACTTCAAAAATCAACGGTATGATGCAAATACCAGAAACCAAATGGCCAAGACTATGCAGTCTACAGAATCTTGTTCATAATGAAAATAAAATTCGCACGAATCATTGCTCTAATCATCAAAGCGGAATCAACAAAACTTCTCGTCCAGTAACAAACGGTACTGTGGGTACAGGACCGCTTAGTCAAGTTAAACTGCCCTACCCGACTGTATCTATGATGGCCAATGTGGGTTCTCTGAACGATATAACTCATGAAGGTCATCAGAAAGGAATAAATAATGCCTATTCTGATTCAGATCAATGCAAACGAAATCGAAAATTACATAATGGCGGTTTAAATGGTAAATAATTTCATATGATTGTGTACTACTACTTTTTTTCTAGTTATCGAAAACCATATTAAGCATATTAATATTTCCTCATATTTTCTTAAAAAAATCTAATTTCTTACCAAATACAATAAGTAGTAAATAATCCATACTGATGTATCTTCTTCAATCCCGTCCAACAATCCACTTGGGATAACAAATAGCTTAACTCACTAACTAACTTGTCACAATACTGAAATGACTAAGTTTTTTTTTTTTAAATTTTCACCAAAAATAGTAGACCAACATAAAGATAACACAACTAATTGGTATCTACATGAAATCCAACTAACCAAAATGTAGTGACGTTCATTGTACAAAATTGACGAGAATATCAAATTACATAATTACGTAATGTTCCGAGGTGAATATGCTGGAGTTACTAAGTTTTAAATGTTATTTATCATCGTTTAGTCTTAGCAAATCGCGTGTACTTCAGTTAGTGAGTGAAGTATGCAATAAAAACATTTAACATTAAGCTAACTAAACAAAAAAGATTTTTCTAAACAATAAAAAATTCGAAGTTCAATAATACTTCAACGTAAATAAATAAAATCCAACAGAAGACAGTCTTTGTTCTCCACTAATGAATCAGTAGATTAGAAGAAGTGGCCCTAATGTAAATTCCAAATTTAAAGGTTTGACTCATAGTTTAGCAAAATGGACAGAAACTATATATATATATATATATATATATATATATTCTCGTTAACAGTTGTTTGATTTCAATTTCAATGAACGTACACTTATACTCAACCTAAATGGATAAATAACTTCCGTTTGATTTGATTTTATTTTGAATGTGTTTTAAATATTGTTCTGGTTTAATTCAGTAGTCATCTAAATAAAGTTAAATTTTTAAGATACTTTATTGAAAGTGATTCATTTAGTTAAACAAAGTTAGGTTCACGAATCCCGATCTTATTCAGCCTAATATTGACCGATATTTTGTAGCCAAGTGTGAAAACTTTCGCAACAAAAAAAAACGATATGATGGACAACGCTACTTAGTTTAACGAAAATTCACTCTTTCACCTATCTTAGTCTGTAACAATCACTGACATAAAGGTAGATCCAGTTAACTTACTACTACTTGATAGACATCATGCTTTTGCTTGCTAAGATTAGATTTCGTCGCAGTTAATTTTTGAAAATATTCTATACTACTGAAAAATAAAATAGTATGACATTTCGTTTATAAAAAGAATAAAATGTTTATTTTTATATTCTTAATATTTCAAATGAATTCATAATTCATCTCTTCCAGATGTTGCTTTGGCTTTTAATTCCCCCTCAATGAAAAGTACTGACTTGATTGTAAGTTCATATTCTGGTTTCATTCATAATGTTGAAGCAGTTATAAATTTACATTGACAACATGGATGATTGAAAATGGGCACATTTCAGACCATTAATGTTGAACATTGTCAGATATGATGCGATTATCCACCGAAGACAATAACATATTATCACATTGTATTACAAACTGAATAAAGTTAACATATACGCCACTAGAAACTGGCTAAGTGGTTAAAAGCTTAAGCGCTCGACATGTGGATAGAAGGTCCTAGATCCAACCCTAATGGGTTTGGAAATGCTAAGGAGTCCCGTAAGAAGACTAATCAGTTATTCAGTGCTTCTTAGTTTTCATTAGTTGTTTGATTAAGATCGATTCACGATGTGCAGTAAGAAAAAACAGAGAATTTCCTGTAGGTTTTACACTATAAATTATAATGAAGATATCAATCAAAAATAACTACCTTCATAACTGTGCTGCAAAATGAGACTGAAATAGACTTTAATAGATGGTGTAAATCGATATTTCAATATACTAGACGATTAGAGATAATTTTTATTGATACCGAGAGATGTTCGACTGACTTTAAGTGTTTTGGATAAATGATCTTTTGTAACCCATGATGTTGATTACTTACCACCCACATTTTGTAGCATCTTATCGCAGCTATTCCAGTCTGGATACTCGAGTCAAATCGAATTAGCATTTTACATCTTAAGCATCAAATTGTTTCAAGCTCATACAACTCCTTCTCTTTAAGTGTGGCTAGGTGACTTTCACAACTAGATTTCTACTTGAACATTTTTCAGATCAATATCGAAGCAGTTTACATGTTTTTTTAACAACCAAGTTGAATAAGAAACTAACATACAGTAGGTGTATGCTTTAGGGCCTAAAGGACTAAATTGTCAATGATTACTATATCTACTTCTGTGTAAACTTCAATCTTTTGTCCAGTAATTTTTATCATACTGTTAATATAAATATCATGGACAGATAATATAATTGCATGCGTACATGCACATTTGATTGCATAAAGTAACTGACATTTATGTCTGTCATCATGTCAATATCTAATTCAGTATGATTCAGAAGTGTACAATTCAGACAAAAGTATGTAATTCTTGTCTCTACATAACTAATCTTATTGTTATTATTTCATATTTTAATACAATAACATTAGAAAATATATATGTATATATCAGTAAAGTTTATACCTTTTGGTTACATGTTTCTGGTAAATATCACAGTTTGTGTAAATGAATATGGTTTTTATTAGCTGGTTGTGTATTTTTACAGAATTCATAAGAAAATTTCAAATCCTACATTAGACATTTTTGTAACATATCAGATATGCTAAAATACAAATGATTTCTTGAATAAAAAGGTATACGCTGTGGTTTTTTTTGTTTAAGTTAGATCACTTTTATTAATGAGTCTTCATAGATATTACAAGAGTTAACCAATGCTTAAACTCTGCAGAACTACATCAGTTATTTCAGGATTGACTGTAAGCCATGCTAATGAAAAAATACGTCTAGATATTCATGCAGATTGTCCTGAATGTCGCATCTTGAATGTCATGTTGTTTCGCGCGATCGATGACCAGTGGAATACCGTCAAGTGCCTAGTGGTAACTGAACTTCCTTTGTATTATATGAACCGATTATTAATGTCAAGAAGTTTTCAAGTGAAATACCATTTAATCAGTAACCTAACAAGAAAATATAGCATAGCCACAATAAGGAGCACACACACACTGATATCGTTCCTGTTTTAGCCTATTTCTATACCCTTTTATTTATAACTTCAATATTTGAGTAGTTTTTGGCAGTGTGTACTCAAATTACTCATTTATACACAATAAATGTGATAATAAGATTTAAAATAAAGTTCACAAAACAAAGTCATAAAAATATTATGCTTCGTATCTATAAAACTGTGATCTACATTGTAGATTGAAGATTTTCGTCAAGAAACTAAACGTCTACAAGATGATATCGCTGTCCTACTGGGTCATTTATTCATGAAGGTAAGATTGAGTGAATTTTTTTTGTACTAAAATTGCATGACTTTATTTTACACATCAATTTGTTCGTTTAGATGGTTTAACAATTAGTAGCTGGCTGCTTAATAGATTTTTGTCACAGACTGACATGAGATGAAAAACTATTGAATGTCACAGGACGCGCGGTAACTTATTTTACCTCAGTTCAGTATTTCACTTTAGTAGACTTACAGGAAAGCATACAGAAATCTAACCAATATCTTCGAGTTCTCACATCAGTAAGATACCAGTTGGTCATTCAGAAATACTTACCACTATTGTACCTGAAGACATTGGCTTGAACCACATTTGAGCTTGTCCATGTATACTTCTTGTTTTTCAAAACTATAATGAAAAATTGTTTAGGACTAACTAGTTTTCAAGTTATTATCGATTAATGCTAAATATAATTTATAAATGGACAATAGTATTGATTATGTGATCGTTTCTTGAAAGTAATTCACCTGAGAATAATAATGCATAATATGTGAGTGTTTTAAGCCGACTGCAATGAATATCACTGGATAATATTCAGTAATTTTACTTGATCACCATCTGAATAACTATTCTAACCTCGTCGAATCAAGGTATTGCTTAGTTACTTGATAAATACGCCACATGACAGTTATCTTATTCTTTTGGATGCTGTTGTCTATTTCAGTGAGAGTAGAAGATATTCGTCGGTTATTGGTTTTCGATCATAGGTGTCTTCGAAGCATTGCTCGTATATCCTGGGACACTCGAGTGAGCAACGCTGTTATTAGGAATCGGGTACTAGGTAAGAATGGCAGATCAATAGATGAAGTAATGAAACTTCATCAGTTGAGGTGTTTAGGACATGTGTTGCGTATGCCTAACCACCGACTGCCTCGATGAGGTTTGTTTTGTAGTGTAGGAATAGGTTGGAAGAAAGTTAGGGGCGGCCAAACCAAAACATGGCAGAAATCCATGAAGTCATTGACGAGTGGACTTAGCCATGTCGGTAATTGTCGACTACCTGGTTGGGGTCCGCGAGATGATAATAATCGATGGTTAGAGACCTTGAATGACATGGCTGAGAACCGTTTGCAACGGCGCCGGTGCATCTATTCTTTGTATTCTCTCAAATCTTAATCTTCTGCATTCTTCAACACCTCTATTTTTGACTTTCTAAACTTTTCTCACTGAATCATACTTCTTGAATAATATCTTCTAATCCTAACCTCTCCGATTACTTCTAATACCTTTACTACCTCTACTACTATTGGATTTGAATTGACAATTATATCTCTGTGCTGATATGGTATGGCAACATGAACCGCTGTATTTACGTACGAAGTTCTACGTTGCATCTGACTGACTGTTGTCCATTTCATGCTTCATGCTATTTATTGTCTAATCGTCACTTAGTTGAAATTATTGCAAAAGTGTTTTTGTAAGCGTGATGAATAAAACAGCAGTATTAGCATACATGAAAATTCGAAAACTGTTCTTGCCATAAACAAATAACTATTTGTGGTGGTGTTTCGTTCTCTGAAGTTCGTGCTAATGATGTTGTTCAGAAGAACAATGAAAGCTCCACAACCAAAACAACCAGCTCAGAGAACGAAACACCACCACAATCATCCACCTGAGCTACAAATTTTCTCCACCATCTCACAATAACTATTTGAAATTAATTTATTACATTTCAGTACATGTAAGTTAAGTTGTTAATAGGAGCGTCCACTAAACATTAATTTCCTCGGATGCAAAATCTAGGATAGTCCACATTTATGTTTGATTTTGTTCGTTATACAGTTTTCATGAGGATTAAGTGTTATCCGGAAGATCAGTAAAATTCATAGAGACTTTTTGACAGTCTATTCATACCTAAGACCTCATATGCAATGAAATACAAAACATTCAGGTATCATAGATAGAACAATGCTATTGCATTGCATTAAAATTTATTAATCGTCCTTTCCGAATTTCAGTTAACTCAAGGTATGGGACAATACATATTTACGTTTATCAGTGAGGTTTAGCATAATTTGAACTTATAATGTAGAGACGTTTTCAGTATGAGACAGTGGAGAAGATTCGTAGCTCAGATAGATTATTGTGGTGGAGTTTGGTTCTCTTAGGTGGATTTTTTGACTGGGGTGTATTCATTGTTGTCTGAACAACATCATTGGCACAAACTTCAGGTAGGAGTGAAGTATTTGAATTTCTCCATGTGTGACTCGTAACTTGTCCTGTTGACCTCGATGTTGTTTGGCTCTTATTGACTTTAAACCTGTTGTTGTCTGCATCTTCATTATGATAGTATCCCTCTTTGATCTGTTTCTTGATCTTATGTTTGTTTATGACTTTTCTGATTGGTTGATAAGTTGGATCAATGTCGATGTGTTTGTAGATTGCTGATTGACTTGAGCGCCAATCTTCTGAGAATTTTCTCGTGTTCTTTGTACCGCTTCTATCCAGTATTTCAACATTGTTCCAATCGAATGTAATGTCCATAGTTGTCTACATGTATTGATATTTTAAATGATCATCTGCAAAATAAACAGTTTAAACTGCAAAAAACACTACATCGGACAAATTGGTAGTCCTCTTCAGATCCATCTCTGTGAACATCAACTAGCAGTTAAGCGTAAGGAAATTTCTTTCCTCTTATCGATGTACATTGACAACCATGAACATACATTCGATTGGAACAATGTTGAAATACTTGATAAAAGCAGTACAAAGAACACAAGAAAATTCTCAGAAGCTTGGCACTCATGTCAATCAGAAATCAACTAACAGATCGACATTGACCCAACTTATCAACCAATCAGAGAAACCATAGGCGACATAGGATGATGAAATAGATCAAAAGGGGGATACAGTCAAAACAAAGGTGCAAACAACGACAGGTTTAAGGTTAACAGCAACCAATCAAGATCCAGGACAAGTTACGATTCATACATGGAGAAATTCGAATACTTTACTCCTACCTGAAGTTTGTGCTAATGATGTTGTTCAGAGAGCAATTAATACACCCCAGTCAAAACATCTAGCTAAGAGAACCAAACTCCACCACAAACACTCATATTAGTTGATGGTGATCAGCGATGAAGCGAAATCTTTTTTGTTAATTCATGAAAACATGAATTCCGGACATTTAGTACGTTGTTGCATCTTTAAACTAGGGGCTAGAAATTCTACTGAATTACAAAGTTGAATATTTCGACTACATGAATTCTAATTATCTTAACAAATCGAAAACACTCAGGGTATATTAGTATGAAAAAATTTATTTAAATTATTATTCAGTCAAACCACGTGCTAAAACTGTGACATGGTCCATAAAAAGAAAAAAAAGCATTATCTTCTTCAATACGTTTATCTACTGTGACTAGAGTTTTGTACTGGATAAGTGAAGATAAGTAAAAAATGAACCATTTCATATCATTTTACTAAAAATAGCTTCTAGGTGCATTCACTCTGAATCATTTTAACATATACAAACTAGTAGAAGTGTTGTTCAGGTGAAAAAAGAAGGAAAAAGTAGCAAACTTTATATTAACTACTATAAACTTATCTAAGATGGTATACTTATGGTGTATATATATATATATATATATATATATATATATATATATATATATATATATATATATATATTATAATACTGTTTTACTGATTACTGGACTGACTGGTTGACTGGGTTGTATGAGGTAAATGAACAGTTGATCTAAGAGTCTTATAATAAACTGCACACATTTGTGATTATGCACATAATTTTGCACTTTTTAAAATAGAAAAAAAAAAGAAAATAAATAAATAATTGAACTACTAGAAAGAAAGAGTCGACCTTAACTAACCAATTTTTCTAACAGACTGTTCATTCATTGGATGATAAGGTAAAAAGTTAATGAATATGTATGTAAAATACAGGGAGGGAATCAAGTACAAATCGTTACACAATCATGGACATGTACAGAAGTCTAAACACACAGAAAAGTCTAGATATATTATAATCATTATGCTATTTAAGTGATTACTAGTTAAGAAAATTGTCATATTTAATCAATCTGTCCTTTTTATTATTACATGAAAAGTCTATCGCATAATTAAGTTTTAACATGCTATATGCTACTTACTTACTGTAAAATGGATTATGTCAGATTATCTATACATCCAAATAAAAAATAATAATAATTAAATCAGAGTTTCAATCATGGAAAGATTTTATCCGAATTTTTATTCATACACAAAATCACACTATGAACCATTAGTATCGAATCATTGGATAAAATCAGAACCTAAACATAATTGTAAACCGAACACTAATGGAAATAAAAATCAGAGTACTGATAATAATAATAATGGCAACATTGATAAGATCAAGTCTGATGTCTGGTGTAACGGGACAGATTTTGACAATGAACAACAAAATGCCATCAATTTATCTGAGACCAGTCGTCAGAGTAGGTTTAAAGTAGAACAATCTCGGGATCGGTCAATTGATTTAGCCATAAATGAATCTCAAAGATGGGTACGTGAAAATTCCGATCCACCAAGACATAAATTAACTGATGATGATTTGTTGCCTGATTATGATTCACTACGATCAGTACAATCATTTATAACACCTTGTATTCGAATGAATGAGCATAGAAAGCCTGAATTTAAAGTTAAACAAACTCCTCATTATAGAACTACTGAAAATAGCGCACATAATTGTCTTCAATGTAATATCATTCCGAATTATCACAATCATCATGATCTTATGTCAGTATCATTGACAAAAACCTCATCATCAATTAAACGTAAGTCAAGATCATTGCATAAACAATCCAGTGAACATGAATTCCATTCTACTAATCATATTGGTACAATGGATTCGCCTATTCTATTCAGTAATTCCAATCATTCAAGACGATCACCTTCACCTTGTGTTCGATTGAAAACTGCACTGGAAACTGATACAAATCACCAAATCTATTCAAGTTCCATTCGAAATACAACAGTGTCAAATTATGATCTACGACCTAAACGATTAATTGAAACAGAACGTATGGTTAGACAAGAATTGGCATCGACACGACAAAAGTCCGCCACCTATGATAATAATAATAATAATAACTTTTTAAATAAAGATTGTCATCATAAACTAGTTAAACAAACCTCACCAAGATCACTGAAAAAATCATCATATTTTAATGAGCGAAAACAACAAGTTGCCCGATCACCTAATAGAAGTAAATATAATATTTCCGATAAAAGTATGTCTGATCATGAATTACCAGAGAATAATTCCACCATCTTGATAAATAATAATGAAACAAATTTATCATCCGAACAATCTGACAACGTATCAACCATTTCATCAAATGAGATAAACTATAAGGAAAAAGATGATACTGAAAAAATACTGAAGGTAACCAATTCAGTATAAAAAGGACAATTGTTTTTTGATCAAGGCTTTATTGTTGCTTATAAGAATTTGACCTCATAGATTTGCGCGTAATTTAAAATTGTGTTAATATTATATGCATTGATGAGGTGAAATATGTGTATATATCTTTATATGCTCATCACAGAATGATATTAACTGTAGTACTGACTCATTTATAAATTTTTTTACATCAAACACTTTCGTATAAAATTACTTTTCCTCTGATAAATCATTGATGATAATGCGTGTAGAAGTCATTGAATGAGAAGATCCGACTGAAGTTGGAACTTTAAACTAATAGGTTATAACTTTTCTAGTTTAAAAGTAACATCTTAATTTCAAAATTCTGGACTCTATGGCTTAATTCTGTGCAAATTCTGAGGTCTACAATGTTGAATAGTCATGATCAGTGACAGGATAGCTAAGCATTGTTCAATGATTTTTATTGGTTTTTAAGCTGAACTATATTGTGGATTACAACAATTTTTAAAACTATTCAAAATTATACAAGTAGACCTGAGAAGACTGAGGCGCTGAAGATTGTATTATGCTAATTAACACTCTTAGTCAATTAAAAACAACAAAATTACATTGAACACTCTATTTGCACACCATCTTTGAGTCCTGATTTCCAACGCTCCAGCCTTCTTCCATTCCTGCTGTTGCTTCCTTCACTTCTTGTTGGTACTCTATTTATTTCTTGCTTTTGCTCCATTTGCTTTCCGTTTTCCTCTTCTGACCGTGAGACTTCTTCTTTCACGTCCTTTCTTATACTACTTATATTGTTCGTATAAGTAGCACACACCACAGACTGTGTAAAAGAAAATGTTCTACATGATGAAATGATGCACAAAATACCAAGTATTCAAATTTTGAATTGATGCTTTTTAAATGTATAAACATCGTTTTCACTTCTACGCAGTTTAATTGACTGAATTCATTTTTAAGCAATTTCATGCCTAAAAATACATAAACACACATTTCCTACCATAAAAATCTATCAGTTATTTACTTCATCTGAACAAATTTATTGCAAAAGTTATTTTGAAAAGTATACAGTTTAGGAAAATCTCACTACCACGGTTATTATTTACAAAACTTCACATTTTCATTTGATTCATTGTAATGCCTCAAAAACTGAAATTCTTGGCAATAGTTATGTTTCAATCATTTTTTTTTTGTAGGATAACAAGATTGAAACTTTAGAGGAGACTATGGAAAGTATGGTGGTTCGTATTGAACAACTTCAAGCCTTGGACAACTTCAAGGTTAGTTATTGATAGAATTCTATATTTAAATGAAACAAAATTCACGTTGAATAGTTGTCACTGGTTGGATGTAAAGGGTTTGGTACTAGTTTTATCACTTCAATGACTGTTATCGTTTATATAATCAAAGTAAAAGTAGAGATAAAAGCTTTTTATGTTGGTCGAAACTGTCATCATAAAGATGCGATTTTGCTAAGATGATAAGATCAAACAGTCTTGTCGTTAACTGATAGATCATTGTTATCTAGTTAGCAAGTAGATACTCGATGACTGAAATTATACATAGACAATTTTCACAAATCAAAAAGAATAATGCTGCCTGTTAATAAGGGAAGCCTGAGGCTTCTAAAAATTCTGCTATTCCGACTTTATTTTTAGCTGGTTTGACAATGAGGAACACCTTGTGATTATTATCAACAAAATGGAAGTAAACTTTTAACTCAGTAAGCGTTTGGTTCTTATCCATGGAATGCAAGAATTACTCTTTTAAACCTTGTAATGTAGTAGTTTTTAAAAGATTCTACATTATTTTTTCACTAAGATTCATTAATATTTGCTGAAAATGTATTCTGACTAACTAACTAACTCAATGGATATATCGCTACAGTATCTGAAATGTAACATTATAGATATTGTTTCGATTAATAATAGTCAAAGTCATTCTAATCATAGTTTCCAGGTAGTGGACATTGCTACAATATTTGTATGGCATTTGAATAAACATAGCGTATTTTTTTAAAGTTAAAACAAAAGTTCTTTGACATTTACTCATATATAATATAAATACATTAGCTGAACTTGTAGTGTGAGTGAGTAGTGTAGTGTAGTGTAGTGAGTACAGCATGATCGATCGTCTGAAATACGAAACAGATCTAAAGTTAAATGTTGTCATGCTAATTTACTTTTATAGTTGAAATTGCAATAATTCGGTTGCTCAGTTGAACACAAAATGATCAAATCTAGATAATAATGCATCAAAAACACCATAAATCACCAGATATTTGTCTCGCTGGTAATCAGTTATCAAAAATGATCATTCCATTGTTTAACGCCTTATTGTTTTCAACAGTGTCCCAGCTGACATTCACTGATGATGGGAACCACATTCAAAGTACACAACAGCGCCATCAAAATACCTAGCTGGAAAATTAGTGCATGTTTTTCACCAAGATGATGATATTTCCACGTCTTCATTGATTTACTTACTTACTTACGCCTGTTATCCCCGATGAAGCATAGGCCGCCGACCAGATTTCTCCAAACAACTTTGTCCTGGGAACCCGTTTCCAGTTCTGTCCAATTTTGTTCATTATTCTCATGTCTTTATTTATTTCTCGGCGTGATATGTTCCTTGGTTTTCCTCTTTTCCTCTTACCTTGAGGATTCCATGTGAGGCCTTGTCTTGTGAGGCACTTGGGTGCTATGAAATCAATTCAAGTTTTTATTTATCATTATATTCATTACTATATAAAATGTCATCAGGATGTTTCAAGTACTAGTAAACTTAGATATCGTACTACTGAACAACGATTTACTTTACTTCGTTGACGTATTTTAAATTTAAGTTTTTGAAATCATAGACCATACGGCCAAGTAATTCATAGATAACAGTAACAACTAAATTTTAGTACCTTGTATAACAAATTGAATGAGATTGTAAGCCATAAATTAACAGAATGTGATCTGATGATTTGCTAATCAGCTACGTGTCATGAAATCTGGAAGTCCTATGTTGGATCACTTTTTAGTTCAGAAACTATCACAGTGAGTTAGTTTCGTTCGGTTAATGATTCACTTCCCAAGAAAGCAACTTACATTGAACCTCAAAACAACAAAGTTCATTTTTTGCTCTAAACATAATAATCTGCTTTAAGGCAAACAGTTCCTGCTTCTAAAGCATTCACAGAACTTAGACAGTTTCCTAAACCATACTTTTATCTGTGGGTTCAAAAATAAATCCCTTTAATTTGTATGTTGAATTTTTGTTTAAAGGTTTGTACAAATGACGAATGCCCTTGGGTGAGGTCGCGCAAAATTCGTAGATCAATCAGAGTTAGACATTAACACCGTTGGATGCCAGCCCAGTGGTCCAATGGTTAGGCGTTCGCGCACAATACCGAAGGTCCCGCGTTCGACTCCTGAGAGGTGCAGGAGTCGTGGATGCGCACTGCCACTGATGAGTCCCATACAAGGACGAAACGGTCATCCAGTGCTTGTGTGCTTCTAATGGTGATCTAACAATTATTGATTAGTGATTTCAAATGTCTAAAAACACAAATCTCCAAAGCTCTAACTGAGAATGCCCTTGTACCAAGTTTATTTTAATTGTTATCCACTAGATTGTGAAATGTATCCAAATATTAAAATCAACTTACTATTTACCTCAGTAACGAATTATTGAGTTCGTTTGTGACATATTTTCTGCTCATGATCATAGTTTATATTAATTTCTAAACTATCCACTATATTCTCTACTTGATTTACGCAGCTGTCATGAATAATAAGAAATCTATCAGGTGAATCAGTGGAATGCAACATGCTGGTAATTCAGAGCAAACATATCGAAAACGACTTGTTTAGTATTAAATATAGTGATACGAACGTTTTCAAAAGTAGGATCGTTAATTCTTCTAAGCATATAGAACTACTTCAACATAAAGAAGCATAACGGACAAAAAATTATACCTGAATTATAGAAATTAAGCTTTTCATTTGGGTTCAATGTTTGTAATATTCTATTCAAAGATTACTTTGATTTATGAACACTGACTTGAAGTGGAAAACCACTGTAAACCACAGAACAGTATAGACACTTGTTTCATCATGGTTCATGAGCTCATAGGATCGTAAAAACATTTGATTAAACTCGGAAACTACAAATTTCATAGTTGGATACTGATTAGTTGTTCAGTCATAATTAAATGGTTCGTATTTTTAATAATTATAAGTGAATAACATTAAAGATTCTTTCCGGGCAGAGTTTTGGAGGTTTTGTGTTTTTACACATTTGAAATCACCAATCAATCATTGTTAGATCACCATTAGAAACACACAAGCACTGGATGACCGTTTCGTCCTGTTATGGGATTCATCAGTGGCAGTGCGCATCCATGACTCCTGCACCTTGCAGGATTCGAACCATGGACCTTCGGTTTGTGTGCGAACGCCCTAACCATTGGACCACTGGGCTGGCATCCATCGGTGTTAATATCTAACTGCGACTGGTCTACGGATTCTATTAACAAGATTTGTCAAGACCAGGTCAGTTCAACAGTTGAGTCAATTAGACGCTTCTTTTGATTAGTTAATCATTGGGATGACTGGATTTGTTTTTATCGATTTTGACTTCTGAGTTTCAGTTCATGTAAGAAATCCATTGGTTAGATCGCCTTGATTTTCAGAGAAATTATAGGCTGACCACTTTCAGGTTATTATGAAACAAATTTGATGTATTGAATTTAAATTTTAAATAATTTAAACTGAAGATTCATCAAATTATTATCTTATTTCAAGAAAGAAAAGTATGAAAAACAATCCTAATGAACTATTCATTTTGACACTTGTATGTTGAAACACAATAAACATTGATTATATTTACTTGATATTATGAAACGCAAAGTTTTTTTCACTATCATAGAATTCAGAAATACATGAACTACAAAGTATCATTGATCAGCTCCGCTCAGATGATATGAATGGTAAATCTGTGGCTAGCTCTCCAAATCATTTTCAACCTAGACCACCAAGATCAACATCTTGTCGTACTCTTCCTGATGGTATCTATCTAGGTAAGTGTAATATAATTTCACTGTTATTTTTAAGCGCTCAGTATTAATCATTTGTTGAACAAAAACTATGAAACCATGTTAAGATTACTCAAGCTTAATTTATTTGAAGAACATAATCAATTTCAGAGAAAATTATGTGATCGTTAGTTGTGCAATATGGATAGCTTCGTCCGATGACCTGCATAAATCACGATATACATATTTCAAATAAAGGTCTAATTTTGTATAAAATGACTTCATTCATGGTTTAAAATAATCTAAAAATTCTTTATTCATGCGCAATACCCCGATCAAAAAATTATGTTTTGCTTCACGTAAAAGTGACTAAAAACCACAGAATTATAAAAACCAAAACAAAAAATTAAAAATAAAATGGCAACTCTTAGTTGGGGCATATTTTCAGTTTCATATGTGACTGAGCCAAAGAAAAACTCCAAGTCTTACGGGATTTTTCAAAGCTTGATTGATTTGCTACTGGTTAAAATCAATAACTGCTTGTCGTTCATGATTTAATTGACCCTGCATATCAAACATCCATAATAGAGCATTTGGAAAATAGGTAGTCGAACGATTTGTAAAAAGTTATTACAAATTGACAAGGTGAACAAAACCTTATGTGAAATGTTTTCTGTAAAGAAGTGATACTGCCCTAGGAAATTAGTGAAAACTGAGAAGTTTCTTTGGTAATTTTAGTTTTTGCAATCCAATGACCCTCACAAAATTGAGCTAAATACAGTCATATCTCATGACATACAAAGTAAATTTAGGAGACTGAGCAGGAAACCGTAGGTTCACATTTTCAATTTACTTCAATTCAACAGTAAGAGAAATGAATGATATCTCATTATCAACGATTATATCAGTTTCACTGGTGACTTGCATAAACTTCCCTAAGCATTGTGTCTAATGAGATTCGAGTTAACTCACTGGGAAATAAAATTACTAATGTTCACAAAAATAATGTTTATAAAATTATTTTAAGGAGATTGTGCTTGAATGATAATAGTCATATTTACTGGATTTGTAACAAACAAATTTAGATTCTGACTGAATGATATGAAATCAATAGGTGAGCTGCAATACTTAAAGGTTTGGATTCGTAAAATGTTGTAGATTGGCACGTTTTCACTGTCTAGATGATCTTCTTCAACTTTACGGGTGGTTATTTCGTGCTGAACAGTGCTACCCGCCCAAA